TAGGCAGTGACTGCTCTACTCTAGGCAGATACCACAGCTCCTATCTCCCACTGGCAAAGGCCAAGTGTGGATCCTAGATTCCACAGGCCCCAATATCCTTGCTGAGTGGTGTCAGAAAAGGCTATGTAGGGAGCCAGAACTTTTATCCACACTGCTTGTGACAAGCCTGGGACAAGTGTCAGTAATGAGGAGTCCCGGATTCAGGTGGAAAGAGAGGCCAAATGGGGAACCTGTTATTTCCACCTACTCTTGGGCCTCTGGTGAAGGAGACAAATAGGTGTGTGGGGAGGCTGGGCTCATGCTGAGGAATGCCTGATTGCTCTGATTCATCCAGCAAAATGACAGGAAATGAATACTCAAAGCCCGTCCCCGAGACCCACATCTCAACCTGGGAGTTCCTGGTCCTGTCTGGCTGGTTCCCTCTGTTTCAGTAGCCTGAAGCCTGAGTTGCAGCTTCAGCTTCAACACTTGCTGACTCTTTTAGTAATAATTTTTATTTTGAGAAACATAAAACCATACAGAACTGTATAAAGAATGACAAAACATGACAAACCCTCATGGGTCCACCACCCAGAAGTGACAATTATTCTTTTACTTGCTAGTTTTCTAACTATAACACATAAAATGTCACAGATAAAGTTGAAGTTCCCTTATTCCTCCAGCCCAAGTCCCACCCTCCCCCGCTCTTTAAATTCTGACAAAATTACTGTCATAAATTTAGCATTTATCTTCCATTTTGTTTTGTGTTTATTTTCAGCTGTTTTGCATAGGCAATTCATTCATGTTTCAAAATTCAAAAGGTACACAAGGGAATACAGAAAAAAGCCTTTCATCCTGTGACTGGAGCCTGGAGCAACAGGTGGGCAATCTTGAAGCGGAACATCCCTAGCAGGGGGAGAGGAACAAGGGCCCACTTCTCATTCATGATTGTTTTCTAAAGCTGCAGTTGTTACCTAATCTTGCACACCATTGGCTAGATTTTAGTGGTTTAGCCACATCTCACTGGAGGGGCTGGGAAGTGTATGGAGTCTTAATTGACTTTGGCTTGCTGTGTTCCCATTGATAGGTGAAGAAAGGAGGGTAACAAATATCAAGGGACAACTAGCAGGCTCTGCTGTGATGCCCGTTTTCAATATCTTGAAGTGAAAAGCTTCCGGTGTGCAGTGAGTGCCAGCTGAGAATAGGCAGACTCTGCCATGCCCCATGCAGCACGTCTCTACATGCTCCCTGAGCACAAAGCTGAATTGTGCTTTAAGTTGCTTCCCAAATAACCATGTGTCATTTGAGCTAGAAGCCCATCCTGCCAGAGCCCAGGGACCTTTAGAGCAAGCACCCCCCTGTGTGGCTGTCACACCACAGGTCTGTCCCCTGAGATGGCTCTGTGCAAGCTCTAAGCTCATATGCTCAGGGAACCCTGGATCCAGCCTTGAGGCTTCTGGCGAAGGGCAGCACCATCCGGAACAAAGCAGCACTGCCAGCCAGCCAAGACTGGAGGAGCCAGGCTGGCTCTCACAAGTTCTGGAGAGGCCTCTTCTTGAAAGCTCAGCTTTTTAAGTGTTTCCCTGTCCCTAGGCTTCTTTTCACAGAGAAATTCCAGGTTTCACATGAGCCTCAGAGCAGGACAGGAGAATGGGGTCAGTGAGAATGGCCCATCAGAGGGGATGGTAGAAAACTGGGCTGAGGGGGGCTCCCTAGGCCTCACTGCTGTACATCCTTGGTCTTTGCCAGGTCAGGCCTTGGAAACAGTGTGGATGGTCAAAGAAAGGGAGAAACAATGCCTGGCTCACTTGCAGCTGTGTGACAATAGCTGTGTGGCAAATTACAGAGCCAGCCTCCCATGACTCGTGAGTGGGGAACTGTCTGGGATGAGGTTAACAACCCCATGCCTGAAGGGTTGAGGAGAGGGACCTGTGAAAGGGAGTGGGGCAGCAGGGCTCACAAAGAACTGAGGTAGGGGCTCATCAGTAGAGCATTAGAGGGGACAGGCTAGTCCCCAGAGGAATATCTCTGCCTCACCCAAGCTGAGAGAGTGGCATTGAGTTCTGACTGCCCTAAACACTCTGCAGTGGAGTCGGTGAGAACAAGGCCTGGTGGTCTTGGCCAGGGTATGATGGCCTTCTTGACAAGGTGGCAGGGGAGTAGCGGAGGGAGCCATGTGTGAGCACCCTACCAGCCATCACTGGGAAACAGGAGCAGCCTCTGGGCCTGATGCCACCCAGAGAATATAGGGGGCCCCCTCACATCTTGGTTGTAATCAGCAGAGACTATTAAATTGAACTGACAGATTAAGGAAAATCAATCACACTTCAGAGGGAATAAGACAAAGTTAGAATGTAAGCAGTTTCTTTAAAGGACTTTCTTTAAAAAGGGCACATTTTGGGAAGAGTCTGAGCAGTGCCATGTGTATTCAGAACCCTCCGCTGGGCCTGCCCAGGAACCCAGGTCCCACCTGAAGCCCCAGGCCTGGGTGGAATGGGAGGCCCAGCTGGCCTGGGGCCAGAAGGCTTCTTTGTACAATATTTGTTTGATGGGAGAAAAGGCAGGTGAGTAACCCAGCCTAACAAGATGGCACTGACCAGGTAAACATGGATGGGACTGGCAGGCTGGGGACTTCGAAGGTTGTCATGATCCTTTGGGGGGAGTGGAGAAAAAGAGGATAGTCCTTAGGTGGGCCCATAGGAGAGGCTGGGCCCACATGGCTTTCCTCTACCAGTGGCCAGTGAATGAAGTAAGGAGTTAGTGGGTGTAACTTGGTTGGTCATGGGCAGGGTCAGGACTCTGCCATTTTTTTGGCACTTCTTTTTAAAGTTTTTCCTTTTAAAGTTTTTCCTTATTTTTTAGAGAGAGGGGAAAAGAGGGAGAAAGAGAGGGAGAGGAACATCGATGTGTCAGAGAAATATCAATTGGTTGCCTCTTGCACTCCCCCAGTGGGTGACCTGGCCCAAAACCCAGGCATGTGCCCTGACCAGGAGTTGAACTGGCCACATTTTGATTTGCAGGCCCACGCTCAATCCACTGAGCCACACCAGCTTAGCCAGGACTCTGCTTTTAACAAGTCTCCTTGTGGCAGCCTGTCTGTGTTTGGGGTTGGAGACGGAGATGAAGGCAGTGTGAGGTATGCCATGCCCGGGTCTATTCGTTCCCCAGAAACAGATGAATCCTTACAGCAACCTTCCCATTTCACAGAGCAGGGCCAACAGTAGGTCAGTGTCCTGCTGGAATCTAAAACAGAATCTGACAACACAGGTGCACTCCTGGAAGATTTCTCTGTGCTGAGGTATAGAGAAGAGTCAAGGCCAGGCTTCCAACAGTCCAGTCTCCATGGAATGAGGTGAAGACCTCCAAGCCAGGCCTTGTCAAAGGGCTAGGTGCCTACCTTGGTCCTAGGAGAGGAACCTGTGAAGAGGGGACCTGGACAGCCAGAAAGGGTGCTGAGAAAAAGGTCCCCCAAAACATTGATGCATTCAGTGCCCTCCAGAGGCCTCTTAATCTTGGAGGTCCCTGAGACCAGGTGCGTGCCCTGGAGACGACTACAAGCTTCTCTCCCTCAGGGTTGGCCAGCAGCCCCCAGGGAGCCTGAGTGCTCTGGGCTGGGAGCATGAGGGCCAGAGGATGGACTGTTCTTTGTGCCACTGCAAAGTGGACCCTGCCTAGCAGGTCAGGTCAGGGCTACTTGCTCTAGGAAGAGAGAAGTAAACTAGGCACAGAGCACCATGTGAGAACAAGTGTTTGCCTGAAAGTTTTGGATGTGAGGATCCAGGGAAGCATGTAGGTAGTAGGCCCACCCCAGGGTTAGCAACTAGTGGTCAAAGCTGAAATGTTGGGTGTGAAGAGTGATAGTAAGAGAAGCAGGGATGAGGAGGAATGGGGCTGGGTGACAGCTCACCACAAGGGGAGGGAGAATTGTCTAAACCCAGAGACCCAAGGAGCAAGCAGGCTTGCCTATCAGTGCAAGAGGGCAGAGGGACATGGGTGTGGCCGACAGGCTGGGCTGGCACAGGTGAGTGCAGGGATGGGGTGAGGGGCCAGGCAGGGACCAGGAGATTCCTGGATCTCAGAATCAGACTTAGTCTTCCATTTTACTAGAGGTAGAATGGCAGCCCCACCTCAGGGGGTAAGTGTTCTCAGGACTGACTTCATTTGTCTGATCATACACCGGCCCTGTAGAGCTGAATGGAGCCCACCCTTCCCACCAAAACCAGAGAGGAGAGCACCTCCATCATGGGTTCTTGAAGGAGGAGCAGGCGAAGTGCCCCAGTGAAGTATCCCCAGAGGGGTCTTTGTACAGGCCTCTCCACTCTGTGTTCCTCCCTTGCAAGACTACTTTGTTATTAAATGGATGCTTCCTCAGGAACCAGATGGCAAAGAGCATTGCCTGTATTTGGATCTGAGGAAGGGGTTGAAGGGAGACCCCTGTCTGTCTTCTGCCTTTCCCACGTATGAGAGTTCCAGTGACCAGGAAGTGGCACTCTCTGGGTATCAGCTGTGACCAGGTCCTGGTTTCTGCTCTGCCCTTTGTCCACTTGGTGAGCCTGCCCTTCCCCTTCTGCAGGCGGCATGGCCACCTGGCCCCTCCCTCCAATTCTTCCTCCCATATTCATAGTCGGAACAGATTCCAGATGTAGATTCTGTGAAGGGGAAGAGAAGGTGATCATTTTAGGCCTTGAGGTATGAACCACATAAAAGCTTAAAATGCAAGCATGTGGTGTGTGCATTTCTCTCATCCTAACACTCAGCTGGGTTCATCTTTTCAATTACTGTGGTTAATGATCAATAAATTATCCTTTATGGCCATGATAATCACGTCTTTTACTTTCACAAAGCATTACTCAGTGAAACAGAGTGTTTTCTTCCTGGGCTGTCTGTACATGAGGGAAGGCCCTCTGCTCCTGCATCAAGTCCTGTGCTCACAGATGTGCATTTTGAAAATCAAACTGAAGGTCCCTACTACACCACACTGGGCAGACTGCTGTCATCACAGACCACAGCACACCTGAGGCTCCTTTTCAGGGTTTATTTCATTGGCTAACATTCATTCTTGCCCTAGACAAAAACAATTAGATGATTATAACTTGTTTTCCATCAACTCATTTTTTTGTATGAATAACCAAAAGATTTTTTCTCAACATTTTTTTTAATAAGAAGCTATAAATAAATAAAGCTTTAAATGCTCCTGGGTTCAAATTAAACACTTCCAGTTCCCCAAAAGTTTACAGACTTGGACAGTTCTGTCGTCCCTGGTTCCTTCCCTGGGAAAGGACACTGCAGGACTGTGTAGGGAGTGAGTGGTTTACTCACTGCATGTTTGCTTCTGTACTCTAAGCCCTGGTAAGAGCCCCTGAGTGGGGCCCACCCCATGTCATCTGTGGAGCCCGGCCCTTGGCAATGACGGAGACAATGTAGGCACAAGGAAACTTCCCCCCAAAGCAGGTGGCCTCCATGGGACGTGCCAGATGAGACTGAAGGGGTAACGGAGAACTGCCAACTGGTATGTCTCTGGACATCTCAGTCTTCGTGCTGGCCCAAGACAGGACTTCTTTCCAGATGCAGCAAAGAAACTTAGGAGAGACCCGTGTTTCCAAGCAAACTGGAACAGGTTGTAAGTTAAAACATTCCAATATATACAGAACAGATCCTACGCTCAGGCTCGCACACTCAGGAAACCTATTGCAAGGCCTCAGGCAGACTCATACCCTGGACTTGGCCACCTCTTGAGCTCTTATCAACATGTCCTGCCTGGAGCGTGAATGCCCCAAGTGCTGAGCATCACAGAAGACACACACCCTCCTCCTCCACATGTCCTTCGCCTCCCTTTAAAAGTCATTAAAATGGGTGCTTGTGTCCTCAGCATGATGCACCCACTCCTGGGGATGGTCCTGAGTTGGGCTGGCACAATACCCATCCTGACCTTCTGACTGCTCTGCCTTTGGACTACAAGATGAAGTGGTCAGTCAGAGTAAAAAGCTGAAAGGAATAAAGCTAGACAACGAAAGACTAAAGACACTTTCTGCTGGGCAGCCATCTCATCTGACAACAACTTAGCTTTTCCTGTGCTACAGAAGGTTCCTTGTTCTCCCAATCCTTACTCTCTGGTGGGACTGTTGGGGCACGGAACCACTGGCAGGAACTGCCTGTGAGGCCTATGACCCTTATTGCCCTCCTTGAGGCAGGCCTACGGCCTCTGGGCATATGTCCTTTCCTTTCTGGAGAGATGGGGCACCTGTCTACCTCAGTGTGGGGCTCACACTCAACTCCTGCAATCTGCAGGGCTGCTGGAAACAGGGCCTGGTGAGCTTTGGGGGATGGGGGTGGGGCAGGGAAATGCAAGGAGAGCCCAGGGTAGGGAGGGCTGTGAATGTGGGTATCAGGGAGCCAGCTGCCTAAAACCACTTCCTCTAACCCTAGCTGAGAATCTGAAAGCCCTAGCTCCCTTTCCTGGCCATCCAGAATCACCATGGCCTCGAGGTATGGCTCATGGGCAGCAGCTGTGGTCTACCAATGGAGGCTTAACTGGAATTTTGTACATGGGATAGTGGGAGCAGTGGGGTAGGGGCTCTTAATAAGTGTACAAGTGGTGGGCTTAGGGCAGGGCAGTCTACTAACAAGTCCCAGCAGTTATAAAGGAGAACAGGGCAGGGGGGCTGCAGTTATGATCCCCCTTACTGCCTGAGCTGATGACTGGGTGGTCACCCCAAAGGCCAGCTCAGACTCAGCCTTCCCACTCCTGGAGGCATTCCCCAGTCTCCTCAGTCTGATGACTTTGGAAAAGGGAGTGGGGATCCAGGAGGGATGTCCTATTCTCCTGACCCAAAGCAGGAAGCCAGAGAGAGGAAGAAACTTCCCAGAGACTAGACTAGTCTTCTTGGCTTCAGACGGGTAGTCCTGACCCTAAAGATGGGCAGGTGCGGAGCTCCATTCCTGACACCTCAAAGGGCTGCTGCATTCCCAGGGAGGGGGGACTTCAAATAGGTCTGGTGCACTGGGGCCAATGGAGGCTGAGGGGCCACTGGGATCGCTTTAGCCTGATGAACCTCCCACTGGCCTATGCGAGGAGAGTGGGTATGTATGTAGTGGGCGTGGAACATACTCCTGGTCTGGCAGGGCTACTTCCCACTCTCAGCTCGTCTTTTTGTCTTCAAACTTTCAGCTGTTTTGACAGTGAGGTGGGGGCCAGGAGAGCAGGGATGGCACTTGCACCTGACCTGTGTAGCCACAAGAGGGGCATCCTTCAAGAACATTTTCTTCTTAGCCAGTGGATGATACAGGTTGGTTTCTCAGACCCCAGGCCTGGGAGAAACCATGAGAACCAGTCCCACTGGGCTAGCACTGACTATCCCTGGTCTTTGTTCAAGATGCACCCACCCGCTGGTAAGCAGGTCTGAGGCTCTTCCTATTGGAGTACTGGGCAGGCAGCCCCTTGTGAGCCATCTGTCTGTCTCACTTCACCTCCCCTCCCCTGACTGCCCCTGAGGGGTTCCCCTGGGGCTGCCACTACCACTTCTCGATGATGTGGCTCATGTAATCCTCCGTGGGAACCCGGCCTGGCTCCTCGGTGTCCTCCTGTGGCAGCGCTTCTTTGGCTCGGTGCAGCAGACGCTCCTCGCGGCTTCGGAGGCGCTGCTCCCTGCGCTCCAGCTGCCGCTTGTACTGGTAGCGCTGCTGGAACAGGTCCTTGGCATAGTCGTAGAGCTGCATGTCCAGGTCATTGAGCTCCTCGATACGCCGGATGGTGTCCTCGTCTACCTCCACGCCACCTGCCCTGGTGCTGTTGTACTGCATGAAGGGTCGGATGAACTTGAGGTTGAACGTCCGCTCGAACAGGTACTGTGTCTTGCGCTGGAACTCTGTCAGGCCAAAGAAGGCCATGCCCCGCAGGTTCTTTTTGGCACTCTCCAGGAGTAGCTGGGCCCGCTTGCCCTCAGGGATGAAGGACAGGTTGTAGCAGCCCACCAGGCTCAGGTCAGCCAGCATGCGTACCTGGCGATTGTTGGCCAGGTTGTAGGGGCAGTCCATGAACTCCTGCAGTGTGCAGCCAGACCAGTCTGTGCCCTCATAGCAGGATGGCAGCTCCTCGGGTGTGGGTGTGCGCCCGTCACACATATGCAGAGAGGTCTTCCATGTGGCCCCACGCTGCACGTGTCGCCACTCACTCAGGTAGCGGGACACAGGGTCTCGCAGCAGGGTGATGTAGTAGAATTTCCTGCAATGAGATAGGGAGTGGGGTAAGGCAAGGATGCAGAACATAAGGGGACTGTTGTGGGGTGAAGGAGGGAGGAGGCTGGAACCCCAAGTCTGACTGTAGTGCCATGGTGTCCTGCAGGGCCCAGCGTTGGTGCCCTCCCAAATGCCCAGGGTTTGGTCGCCTCTGGAGGCCTTCCCCCAAACCTCAGGCCCGCTCTCTTGCCTGCTCACCCCTGGGAAGAAACAACCTGGCTTTCTGGGGATGGAGCAGGGTAACCCTAGAGCTCATGCTGCTTAGAACCAGTGGTTTAAAGAGCTGTTCCTAGAGGCAGGCACAGTGCTGCCCAAGGGCTTACTCAGCAGAAGTCACTCATTGGCTGCAGGCTATATAGGCAGGCCTGAGGCAGGGCCTCTCACAGGGCATACCCAACCTCAGGCTCCTGAGAAGCACCAGGAGACCCCCCAGCCCAGATCCCCTGGGTGAGCTATAATTTGTTAATTTGTACTGTTTCCCAAGAACTGCTACAGTCCCACAGAGCTGGGCATCTCTCATGAAGTCACCTCCCCCACTGTACAAAAGGAAGTGTCCTTATGATGGGAGAAATGACTCAAGGAAAGCTTTGCATCTTACCCTTCCCCTGTGACAGGCATCAAGCATGATCCATGTTTCTGCAGAGCATGCTATGAGTGGCTCCACAGTGCCAGGACACTGAGCTGTGGGGACAGCCTCCAGATGTTCCTGTGACAGGCCTGGTGTGTGTGGTTCTGCCAGCTATTCTTAGAGGTTCTTCCTCTAGGGCTGGCAGAGCTGGCTAACTATGCGTGGTGGAGCAGGCCTCAGAACAAGGAGAACCAGGGCCTAGAATGGGCAGTCTGGAATTTCCTTGAGAGTGGCCCTTCTCACTGGGCCCCACATACCACTTTTGGGGAAGAAAATCCAGGTTGGACTTCCTCTACCCCCAGCACTCACCTGGACAGCAATACGAAAGTGTACTCACACTGCTGCTCCTCATTAAGGCCCAACAAGAGCACACACCTCATCCACGAACACTCACACTGCACTCCTGGAAAGCCTTGAGACACAAGGCACCTTGAGGGGTTTGGTGGCATTGTCTGGATTTTACCAGGGGTAAGGGGCACTTGAGGTGGGCATATCACCGAAAAGGGCAAAGGTGGTGAGGTACCAATGGAGGTTACTCCAGCCTGAGGAGGTCACATCCAGGAAACTGTGGGGAAAGCAGTTTTGAGCACCTCCTTTAGGGGGCTTGCCCCCCACCCCCCACCTCTAGCAGGACCCATGCAGCAGATGCAGCTTGCTGATGGTGTCAAAGGGGCATACGGTAAGACTAGTTCTGCTATGCCAGATTGCTGAGGAAGAGACAGAGCAGCTGTGTGCTACTGGACAGTCCCCCTGGCCTCCATGGGCTGGTGCTGCACACTAAGGCTGGGCAGGGCAGATCTAGGTGCTACCACTGAGGTGGCTCTGGCAGATAAGTGGGACAGGGCCTGGACAGAGGGCGCCTGAGGAGCTGAGGGTCCTTTGAAGACTGGGGAAGGGATTCAGAGCTCCTTTCTTAGTAGCAAGTAAAGAGGAAAGATGACATCTCAACTCCTGACTCCTCCCTGAAGCTTGAATTCTTATGTCTGCTCTCCACTTCAGGTCATGGCTCCACATTTCCAGCTGCTGCCTGGGCAATGTCAAGGGGTGAACCTGACAGAACTTCCTTGCCTATATGCCATGACCTCACCTAGACCATATGCTGTATTCTCCCTAGCAGTGACCACTTGTTCCTGGCTTCTGCAGCAGCTCATGTTCCAACCCTTGCAGAGGGGTTAGTTTATGGCCCCAGTCAGAACCCCCAGCTCGTGTGGAACACACTTCAGTAGCTCTGGCTACCCTTGGGAGAAGAACAAAGGTCCACCTGCATGCTCCTAGTCCCTTTTTGACTATTGGGGACTCCTCTCAGCCTTCTCCCTGGCTCCTGGAGACACCCCAAGGTCTTTGCATGAGCTGTGACCTCTTTCCTCTCTACTTCATCTGCTGACCCTGGCTCACTCTCTAGATCTCAGCCAGTGCTACCTCCCAGGGAAGTCTTGTTCTGCCGACACGACTCCCTCTTGGACCTCTGTCACAGCTGTGACTTCACAGTGACCTCTGAGCTGATTCTGGGGTAGAGAGTGGGTGGACAAAGAGCTGGCTCCTGCATGCACACTAAGCAGGTTCATGGTGCCTTCATGGGGACAAGACTAAAAAGGGTGAGGGGGTCCAAAACAGAAGGTGTCTGAGGGCAATTCCCTCACACAGCACCTTCAGCCCCTAGTGGAGGATACCAATCCCTGAGAGATCAAACAGCTGCCTACATGTCCCCAGTGGCTTCAGCACTAGGGTGGGACATGTGGCCAGGCTCCTCTGCAGACCCTGTTTTGGTGGCCTGTGGCAGTGAGAAAGCCCTTGAAAGTGGCCACGACTGGGAAGGTCAATTCACCTAAGGGCCAATTTCCTAGGGACCTAGCGTAAGATCTTTATAAATCCTGACCAAAAAAACAGCTTCTAAAGAGGCCAAGACAGACAGTTGGGCAGAGGGAAGCAGACAAGGACATGCCTAGAAACACATGCATAAACAAGCCCCAAGTACAAGCTGTTGGTATACATCACGTCCACTGCCAAGTTGTACGGAAAATGAAGTCAGTCAGGCTCCCTCACCCTGATGTCTGTGGCTTAGCGGTGTTCATGTGGCATTGAGTAAGGGCCTGCATGCATAGAATGAAGCTAGGAGGTCAGTATTAGCACCTTGCTGGCTTTGTATGCACTTAGCATAAGGGAGTTGGGACTTCCTGCAATGGGACTCGGCTTGTGGCATGCATGGATTGCCCCACGCCAGAATACAGGCATGTCAGATATCCCCACGGCTCCATGAATTTTCCTCCATTTGCTCAAATCCTGTGTGAACCTGCTTGACCTTGAACAGCTGCAAGACAGTTGGTATAGTCACAGTATGGTATGGAGCCATTTGGACCCCTGGAGTGGAGATTGGAGGGGTGTCCTGCCACCAGTATGTAGTATTCAGTGGCAGGGCTCTTTGTGGCTTGGGCTTCCCCCCACTCCTCAGACTAGCCTGATGTTAGTGGCGCACCTGAGACCCTGGTAGGTGAGATCCTGGAGAAGCCAAGTGCCTGGGTGGCTGCGGGGATTGTGGGTGTTTCTTATAGCTTTGCGAGCTATGATGGAGACTGCACTTTGCAATGGGGCAAAGGTATGAGAACTCCATGAGGGAGAAGAGACCACTTCAAGAGGTGGTGGTTATGAGAGCTCAGAGAGGGAGTGAGAGCCTCTGAGGCTTGGGTGTGCCCTCGAGAAAGACCTCTGAACAGCAGAGCCACAGCGATCCCCACTCCCATCATAGTGAACGATTTGGAGGAAGAGGTGGGGAAAGGGAACCAAGTTCCCTGTGGGCCTGCCCAGTAGTGATACAGAAGAAGAAATCCCAACAGCCTATGGCTCCTGGGGGGAATCTGGCTGGCCCTGCCCAGGAGGGTTGAGCACAGAACGTACTGCCCCTATATGCAGGCCAAACTAGTTGATCTGGTGAAGCAGTTTCAGCAGGGACCCGGGGAGCCCTTGGCAGCATGGCTCCTCTGCCTTTGGGATTTAGGAGTGGGTAGTATCATGTGCACTGATAATGAGATGGAAAAGTTGGCTTCCATCCTGACTCACCTTCCCTTTGTCAGTGGCTGCAAAATAGCCGGTGGAATGGGAGGGGGCAGGGATCTCATTCTCTATTAGAATGGGTCATGGCTGTGATTCATATGGTCTGGGTGGAAGCAGGAGATGTGCCAGACACTGTAATCAATGGAAGTCCCATGCAGACTTTGTGCAGATTCTATGGGAGTTGGGCATGTGCCAGGCCATGTTTAGTCTTAATACTCATGGCCCTGACAATGAATGCTTTATGGCAGGAATGAGGGATTTGGTGCTGCAGCATCCCCCCCGCCCCCCCCCCCCCCCCCGCCGTCCCATTTGGATGTCTCATGGCTATTTCGGCCCCATATGTTGGGCACTGTATTAATGACGTCACCACAATGGTGACAAGTCTGGAAGAGGTGGAGAGTCGGGAGCAGCAGAAAGTTCAAAGGGTGTCTCAAGCCCTCTCTGATTCTCAGTCAGGCAACCCTGTGTGGGTGACCAGGACCCAGATGTGGGTGGACCTTTTGGGGGCTGGAGTAGATCGAAATAAAATTGATGGGAAGCCAAAAGCTTACTTATTAGAACTGTAGAAACAAATGCGAACAGATTAGCGTTTCCCGCAGCCCCACAAGGAGGTGGAAGGAAAACCTAGGGACACGACCCAAGAGGCCTGTCCTGTCCAGCTGGAAGACCACCTGGCTGTGCCAACCCCCTGAGAAGAGGGAGGAGATATCCGTTGGCAATTTAAATAGGGGGAGGGCCAAGGAACCCATCCACAGGGGATAAAGGGGGATTGGAGACTGCATGTAGAATTGCCTATCCACTGGTCCCCTACAAACGTTCAGGTAGGTATTGGCTCTAGTAGACATGGGCACAATGTATGGTCCTGTATGGAAACCCTAACAAATTTCTGGGACCGATGGCCTCTAGTGATGGTTATAGGAGGGCGCAGTATAAAGATGAAGACTTCGAGGCTTTCCCTCAGTATTGGTGATTGCCCCCCTGTGAATATACTGTTTATGTGTCCCCCATTCTTGAATATATCCTGGGCATTGATGTGTTCCAAGGACTGTGGCTGCAAACCACTGTGGGAGAGCTCTGCTTGAGAGCGTGATTGGGAAAAGCCATTGTGCGGGGGCTTGCTCAGCACCCCCCTGTTCAGTTTCCATCCCCATGACTGGTGATGGCGGTGAAGCAGTACTAGCTGCCCAGGGGCCATGAAGAGGTCACAGCAACTATAGGCGAGTTGGAAAATGTAGCGATAATTAGGACTGCTCACAGTCCCTTCAACTATCCCGTGTAGCCAGTGCAGAAGCCAGATGGCATGTGGAGAA